CACCGGGACATCACAACTGAAGGTTCAACAAGGGAAATGGCAGGATGAGGGGGAGGTGGGCATGTCCCGCCAGACATTGGGGTCCAGCCCTAGAACCACGGATGTGACCCCACGCACTGGAGTGGCCTCTGCGGCCACCATCGCACTTGGGATCTTGGACGGCAGATGATGCTGGGTAATCGTCTGGGGCGGATGGAACCACGGAGGGTAGGGGTGAGAATCAGGGATATGACCACGGAGGCAGAGGTCAGGTGAGGCGAAGAAGGGGCCACGAGCCTGGGAACGCAAGGAGCACAGCCCTCGAGGTGGCAAACGCGAGGACGGGAGCACCTGTAGCCTCTGGAGGGCACGGCCTGCCCACACCTCAGTGGCCGCCCAGGGAGGTCTGGTCTGGACTTCTGGCCTCCAGAACCACAAAAGAACAAATATGCTGCTTGAAGCTCGGAAGCTGCGGGGATTGTGGCCGTGGCTGCGGGACACTGGCTGGGGGACACTCAGGCGGTGGCTTTTCCAGGACCAGCGTCTCTGCAGAGGCTGCTGCTCTGAAAGCTCGGTGGGCCACAGGGCGCCATGCCCCCTTGGGTCCTGTACCTGCTTCAGGACAGGGGTAAACAGTGTGGTATGCCAAGACCTCCTCCTGGTTTCCCTCCTCCGCGTGGATCACTCCTTGAACACAGCCCCCTTCGTCGGGGTTCCATAGCCTCACCTGTCGTGGGCTGCACCCCATCCTTCCTCCAGACCCCTGGCCTGCGGGGCTTACCGAGGCCGAGGCCAACAGACTGATCTTGATGCCAAACACCTGACAGCCATCAAACTGGCTTCTATAGGGCTACGTGTGGCAGGTATTTCACAGGGGTACGAGTTCTCATTTTCCTGGGCTTTCTAATAAACTCTGGTCTAAAGAAAATCTCTTCTATAAAATGAGTGGCCAGTGCGAAGGGGGAGAGACAGAAGCTCCTTCTGGACACTGGCTGCTTTGAGCCTGCCCCGCCCAGGTACGGAACCCACCAGCTGCGATCAGGACACTGCAGTTCCACCGTGGGAGACCCCGGGCCCTCGCCATGTCAGTCCTGTTTCACAGATGCTGGCAACAGCTTCGACGGCTTTGACGCATTCTAAAATCAACAGGTGGCCGGGCGCGGTGGCTCAAGCCTGTAATCCCAGCACTTTGGGAGGCCGAGACGGGTGGATCACGAGGTCAGGAGATCGAAACCATCCTGGCTAACACGGTGAAACCCCGTCTCTACTAAAAAAATACAAAAAAAAACTAGCCGGGCGAGGTGGCAGTCGCCTGTAGTCCCAGCTACTCGGGAGGCTGAGGCAGGAGAATGGCGTGAACCCGGGAGGTGGAGCTTGCAGTGAGCCGAGATCTGGCCACTACACTCCAGCCTGGGCGACAGAGCGAGACTCCGTCTCAAAATAAAATAAAATAAAACAAAATAATTTTTTTTTTTTTTTGAGACGGAGTCTCGCTCTGTCACCTGAGCTGGAGTGCAGTGGCCGGATCTCAGCTCACTGCAAGCTCTGCCTCCCGGGTTTACGCCATTCTCCTGCCTCAGCCTCCCGAGTAGCTGGGACTACAGGCGCCCGCCACCTCGCCCGGCTAGTTTTTTGTATTTTTTAGTAGAGATGGGGTTTCACCGTGTTAGCCAGGATGGTCTCGATCTCCTGACCTCGTGATCCGCCCGTCTCGGCCTCCCAAAGTGCTGGGATTACAGGCTTGAGCCACCGCGCCCGGCCTAAAATAAAATAATTTAAAAAATAAAATAAATAAAATAAAATCAACAGGTACTTAGAACATTTCTCCTGATCAATCATAAGACATGGCCTTGATGTTATGAAGAAATACCAATGAAATCCAAGAGGAAAACAGAACTAAACTCATCAGGATGAAGGATAAACCCTTCAAGCGTGTTTCAAGTCACTCAGCTGGAGCCTCCGTTGGGCAGTGAAGCTTCAGGGTTCCCATGAGATGGGATCGGCGTGAGGCTCAGTCCTGGCCTCTCTTGAAACACTGCGCATTTGCAGGAGTGCCGGCCCACAGGGCAGGAAGTCAAGACTGTCAGAGCAAGTGCTGATCCTGAAGCTGGAAGGACTTGCAAGGCCTCATTCCCCAAACTCCTTATTTTTTTTTAAACCTCTGCTTATCTTAAAAAATGGAGAGGCAGGTGCCTTAGCAACCTCTCAGGAGTAACTGACACACGTGACTTGCGGTGTCTTCAAAGGAACAATCTGCAACTTGCTACTGTTTACACAGATCAAGACTAACAGTCGCCAGCAGCTGGTTCACGCATAATGTCCTTTGCAGGGGAAAGAAAACGGCACTGGAGGGCCGACTACAGAAGCAGACAGTGCACGGTGGACCTCTGCCCCTTTTGGGAGCCCTCCCACGGTGCTTCCTGAAAACTCAGGTTAAGCTGACTCTGCTGTCCGGCTGATGAGGCTCCCTTGCTCAGCACACCAGCCCAAATAGAAGAGCAGGTGCTATGGCAAAAATGAGTTCTTGTAGCGACTATTTTTCATACTGAAACTGAAAAGCGAGACCAGCAGAGCTGTCCACAGAGCCCCTGACAGTTAGGCCCGGCTTTGGCTGCTGATGCAAGTGCTGGATGACGCTATTTCTGCAGGAGCTGGCTGCAGGCGCTGATCCACCGCGGGATGTGCCCCAAGAGGCAGACGAAACACTGGGAACCGCACACCTGACCTTGCCAGCATCCCCCAGGCAAAGCCAGGCACTTTGGGTTCATCGGTGGAGTTGGGCGATACTCCTTTCCCGTTTGTGTGCTTAGCTGCTGCCAACAGGACGCTAGGTGAAGCCTTACAGAACACAGCCAGTTGTGTGTTTTATAAAGCAAGGCTCCCCTCCCCCAAAGACAAATAAAACCGCGGGTATGGAAGGGACACCCTCCACCACACCCCGCCCTAATAATCTGGCACCGCAGGCAAAGGCACGGCCTGTGTGGGTAAGGTCCATTGTCGACGTTTACAACTTCCTGTTCCCTGATGCCTCAACTTCCCCACAGACCGACACACCTGTGATGGGCAGGGCCGTGACCTCGTGACCCTCACACACCAATGCAGCCCCTCACGTCTCCTGCTCTTTCCCCCACCGCTGACTTGCCCAAGGGTCCCGACTATCTGCCCTGCCTGTGGAGCTGCCTCCCGTGTGCCCCCCCAGGCCCCTTGAGGTGCTGTGCCTTCCATGGGGCCTGCACATCTAATAAACCCCGGCAGTTCACCCGCTCTCCCAGCCACCCTTCCAGACCCCACTTACGACACACGACTAAGTAACGCAGTATAGGCCGTGTATTCATATTTGTTTTCCTGTGCCAACTCATCTGGTATCTTCGTATTTTAATGGATAAAACTAAAAGACGACAACCTGAAAGCCCAGTATATTCCTCTCAAATTGAGTGACGTTTACAACACCTTAATTATAAAAGACTTATCTGATCTGCAAGAAAGCAGAGTGCACAGAAACTTCACCGCCAACTGCGGATGGCCTGAGAGCATCTGGATTTGGTTCTCAGCCTGAAGGAGCATCCTGGAATGGCATGTCTCGTCCATTGACGTGGAGACACATGGAACAGGCTTGGGGCTCTGAGCAGGGCTCCTGAAGCCCCTCAGCTGGGAGGAAGCCAGGCCCACGAGAGGGGCGCCTATTCCAGAAACACATGAGGATGAAAGCTGTTATTGGCAAAGGAGACTTAGAGCAAGGAAATGCCCAGGAATAAAAAAAGATTATGTATTTAGAGGACAGGTGGGGAGGCTCATGCCTGTACTCCCAGCACTTCAAAAGGCTAAGGCGAGTGATCACTTGAGTTCAGGAGTTTGAGACCAGCCTGGCCAACATGGCAAAACCACATCTCTACTAAAAATATTAATACAAAAAAGCTGGATGTGGTGGCGCACACCTGTAGTCCCAGCTACTCAGGAGGCTGAGGCAGGAGAATCAATCACGTGAACATGGGAGGTGGAGGCTGCTGTGGGCTGAGAACAACAAACCCCACAAGAACTAACTTCAGCAAACATGAAACTTTACTATACACTGAGTCCAGCAGTTCTCTATCCATCTTTCTATTCCATTTCTCCCTCTCTGCCTCAACCTAGGGCAAGATAGGCTTGACCCGACGGGTCATGGCTCTGTACAATAATTTAGTCTTAAATAACTGAGATGCTAACTATGTAAGAACACTCATGACTCAAAGGCTTGGGAAGGGCTCTTTAAATTTGCTCTTTTAATGCATAAATAAATCCATATTATGTATTACTTTCTGGAAAAGGGTTAAACTCAAACATCTGAAATACTTTCATTATACCAGGTCAAGAAAAATGCCACAGCCAGAAAAATTTATTTTAAAATAGAAACATACATTAAGCTTTAAAACAACCAACTCTCAAACAAAAGAGGAAAGAGCCTTTGATCCCAGAGTCCACGCGGAATGAATTCCGTATGTGTTTGAAATTCACATAAGGAGCACTTAGAAAACCACCTGAAATGGAACTCCCACAGCCCCTTGCCTGTGAGGGCTCCCGCACCTGCCAGTGTGAGGACATGGCCGACCCCCGGACACTCGCGCGCCGGGAGCCACCACAGCTCAAGGTGACTGGCAGCGCCCAGCTCTGTGACCAAGACAGACGTTCACACGTGGGGGCACCGTGAGCGCCACCAGCTCCAAATCTGATGTGAGGGACGTGGGAGATGTCTGAGAAATGTCCAAAGCGATTTTGGCAACACAGAAAATGCAATGTCTGGGAATTCCACCAAATGCTTCCAAAAATACTCATGGACAATTCAAGTCGCACATGGCCAGCGGCAGCCCGGGCGGCCTTCAGTCTGTGTGGGGCGCCCGCGTGGCCTTCTCCTCGTAGGACTCCCCGAACTCGTTCACTCTGCGTTTATCCACAGGATAAAGCCTACAACGACACAAATGAGCACATCAGCAAACCCCACTGCAGGGCCTATTTTCCTAAGAGGAGGACTTGGCATCCTTGATTTATTTTCCAGTGAGCGGCCACAGTGAGCAAATTAACTAAAAAGTCGAATCCTCAGAAGTTTTACTGCCGAGGGCTGAGGAGGGATTTCTGAGTTGTGTTTTGTTCTGCATGGCCAGGCCAATGCACTGCTCTCTAGGAAAGGGAAGCTTGGCCAAACGGAGGACCCGGAGGCTGCACTGGCTGCCTTCTGGGAACTGCGGAATCACGGAGACCCGCGCGATCAGAACAGGAACTGCCATGTTCAGGGAGCGCGTCTCTTCAGCTGTGAACACTTGGCAGGACACTGCCGCCACCTTTGATCCTGAGCCCCCGAGGCTTTGCCAACATCACCCCTACGTATGGATGAGGAAGCTGTGGCGTGAGGGGCAGCTCCACACAGCCACGAACAGTAGACGTACAGGGTTTCAGCTTAAAAACGGACCTGCTGCCCACCAAGGGCCCTGTGGTCCTGGCCAAACACCGTTTGCAGGTCTGGAACCAGAAACACACAGAGCCTGAGTGTAGCACAGTTTCAGGCACGCCCTGGGCCACCTGCGAGGACTTGGGAGCCACCTGAAGGGCTCACGGTTGAGATGGGACCCTGAAGAGTGACAACCACGCCAGGCGCAGCAGCTTCCGGGGCTCCATGGCTTGGACAACCTCAAGCTCTGCAGGGGCAGGAGGCCAACTGGGGGATCTGAGAATGGTGAATGGGGGACGGGAACCAAGCCCCGTGTGAGCGTGAGTGTTGCTTACGGGGAAACAGCCCTTCCTGCTGAGACCCAAGCTGGGGCTGCACGAGACAGCAAGGGGATGGGTGGGCAGCCGGCGGCCAGGCCTGGAGAGCTAGGCAAGGGCGGCCATGCGCCACTGTGTGGATGTGCCAACTGCACCTGAACAGAGTTAAAACAGGCCGAACAATGCCAGCCTCACGCTGGCCGGGACAGAGGCTCCGAAACACCCGGCGAAGCTGTGTGTGGAGACAGGTGGGGATGGGAGCACTGCGCTCCCCAAGGGCCGGCAGCCCAGACCGAGGCAGGACCCCCCAGGACGACCTGGGGGAAAAGGCGCTCTCTCCAGCACTAGGAGGATGCCCAGGCCTTGAGGGGGGCCATGGCCTGGGAAGGGCGCAGGGAAGTGTCACAGCCATGGTGTATGAGTGGTGGCTTCCTGGTCTGGGCGGGGGGAGATGGGAAGAGGGATCTCGAGGGTCAGAGAAAGGACACAGCCAGGAGGCTCTGAGACACTTGGCAACAGGCCTTGGGGGTGACACACACTCCTTCCACCCCTGCACAAGGCCTGGGGCCGGGACTGGAGGTGAGGGCAGTGCTTGCAGTGGTCCGGATACAACCCTCCTGAGGGGAGCCCCAGATCCCTGGCTCCTACCCTGGCACAGCACAGCTGAGGGAGCTCTTGCTGACTGAGAGGGCAGATGTCAGCCCTGGAGGGAAGCAGGAGGCCCGGGGCGGGACCTGAGCCTCTGCGTTTAGAAAATTCCGAGGCCCGGGGTGGGATCTGAGCCTCTGCGTTTAGAAAATTCCACAAAGCCTTTTCCTTAGCCGTCAGCCTTCGACCTGAAGGCCAAGCCGGGAGGTCAACACAATGTCATCTTCAGAGGCCCAGGTGGCTGGTTTAAGGGGTGTGGCCAATGTTGAGGTGAGCGCGGTCTCCAGTGACATTCTGCCCTGCAGGGACACACAGCCCAAGAGTGGCCCAGAGCCTGTTCCCGACGCTGGAGACCTGGACGCCAGGACTGCCAGCTGGACACCTCAAGGTTAGTGCCAAGTATGGATTAGTCGTGCTACGATCTCTGTTCTGCTCAATAGCAATGACTGTGAATAAGTAAATAGCTTAAGGAGAGAAATTTGCTTTCAGTGGCTAATCAATAATTCACATAGAAACAAGCATTTCTAAAGCACAATGAGGAGACAAAGCTGCAACAGTTTCTTGCCAGGTTGTATCATGGGCAACTGGAACCCAAGTTTAGGCAAGACAGGAAAAACCACCACCCGCAAATTATCTTTGCCCTCAAATGGACACACAGGCGCAGGGTGCCGTGAAAGCCGTCATTCTGTTCAGCAGCAGCGCCACGCCGCTGAGACGGACCAAGAGCTGAGCGTGCACAGCCGCACTCACCACCGCTGGTACAGGTAGACCAGGAACACCACGTCGTCCCGGAAGCAGGCCAGCCGGTGAGACGTGGGCATGGTGATGATGAAGGCAAAGACGTCATCAATGAAGGTGTTGAAAGCCTGCAGGGCCAGATGGGAGGAAAGTGAACCCCAGTTGCTGGGACTGGAATCCTATTGTTTCTGGTAACCTAACCAAGCAAATGGCTTTTGGCAGACACTTGGAACTAACTAACTGGAACTCTTCACAGCAACAATGAAAAGAGCAGAAAGCCGGCAAGTGGAGACACAACGCTCTGTTCCCTCAGGGGCTCCCCACAGCCGCTGGCACCTGACACAGTGCAGGTCTCGCCCAGGCTCCCACCCACATCGGGGAACCCAAAGAGAACGGCCTGAAACCAGAGCCAAGGGGAGAGCCAAGGGCAGAGCCGCCCGAGACAGAGCCAAGGGGAGAGCCAAGGGGAGAGCTGCCCGAGCATTGCCCTTTCCTCTGGGAGCTTGTACTTGACTTCAGAAAAGTGCAAATCACGTCCCATTAACTCAGCTCCGCCTGCAATGCTGAGGCACTTCTAATCCCACACGGAGCCAAGGGGGCCTCCACAGCTCCACCCGCGGGGAATGGCCACGGCCCACTGGGGATTCCATTCCTGCCTGGGAGGCCTGAATCCACTGTCCCCAGGCACCGGTTACTGGGCCACAGAGGTCTGTGTCTTGACACACATGCTAAGAAGAAACATAAAAACTAAAAAAAAACAAACCAAAACCAAATCTGTGACAAGTGAGAGAACCCCAGTCTTTCAGGGTCTGAAGTTCTCTACAGCTCTTCGCTTTTTTTTAAAGGAGGCTCCTTACTATTTTTCAGTGAAAGGGACGGCTGCAGATGCACTCTGGGCAGAGACTGCCCCGGTAATGCTGGGGCTGGAAGACGCCCTCACTCATGCTCTGCTCAGTGAGAGGGGACTCCTCGCCAACTGTCACACTCACCTTGTAGGTGAAGGCCTTCCAGGGCAGATGTGCCACTGACTTCAACTGAAACAGGAGAGACAGGCACAGGTCAGCTGCAGGCAGCACAGGAGACGGGGGCCGGGCTGCAGGCAGCACACACCACCTTACCTTGTAGTTCACAAAGAGCTGGGGCAGCATGAAGAGGAAGCCAAAGGCATAGACCCCTGCAGAGAGACAGACAGCACTCACCAGGCGTGGAGGGCCGGGCTGCCACGTCTGTGCATAGCGGGCAGAAAACAAGGTCTGCCATCCAGACAACTTCAGAGTCTGTCATTGTGTGTAGCAACTTTCTGGCTGGTAAGTTTATCAAGAGTCTACGACAACTTTGGAGAGCAAAGCTCTTCTATTTATTAATTAGTGTAACTGCTGCCCATGGGGTCAAGTGAGTGAGGGCGCTGGAGCACCCTGGGGCTGAGGACACGGCCTCCTGACCCACAAGGTCCTGCCCCAGGGGTCAAATGTGGGGCTCCAACCAGGGAGGACGGCAGTGCGGGACCCACCTGCTCTGCACCAGACAGGCCCTCGCCCTTAATGCTCACGGGACCACTTCCCAAAGAGACCACAAAGCTGCGATCGGGGCTGGTCTGGTGGGGCGGGGGAATGGACACAGCAGCCCATGCAGCTGAAGGTGCCACCTGGGGCAGGTGGGGGCGGGCGGGCCTCCCAGGACATGTGGCCCCGAGCACAGGGCCCTGCAGGGTCCCCACAGTGCATCGGCAGGAGAGCCTGGTGCTTCCATTTGCTCTAAGGAACCAGACGTGGATGGTGTTGTTTTAATGCTTACTTGTTTTCATGAAGAAAACAGACAACAGTCCCGTACCACACAACACTGTTGTGATCAGCGACGCACACGGATACCAGGCGGCTGCACCACACAGCCTGGTGTGGAGTGGCTGCCGCATCTGGTGTAAGCACTCCCTGTCGCTGGTACAAGGACCTGTTTCTCAGAACCAGTCACTGTTGCGAAGCTACGCAGGGCTTTATCTGCTCACAGCCTGGGGGGAGCCCTGGACACCGCAGAGGCACCTGCCACACTGGGTTACAATGTGAGAACAATTAAATTGGTGCCTGCTGTAAATACTATTACTGAAGTAGGGAAGCACATGGACTCACCATTGACAAAGCTGTTGATTAACCAGGAGTACCAGCTGAAATGGAAAAAAAAAAGAAGTCCCATTTCTTGCATAGCTTAGCATCTGTATTAAATTGACGAAAAATAATTCATTAAAAATTCTCTAAAAAAAACCCCAGGTGTTCTCACTGCAGCTAGGCAGCCAAGAGCAGCAGTGCTGAGCCTGGTTCTCAAGCTGGAGACAGCGCTGAGCGCCCCCGCCCAGGCAGCAGAGGCCAGGGGCTCCGTCGCCTCTCGGCTCAAGGCCAGCATCCCACCCGGGCAGCGGAGGCCAGGGGCTCCAGGACCCCTCTCAGCTCAGGGCCAAGCTTCCCATGAAGCCTGGTGGCCAGAGTCAGTCCTCTCAGCTACACCTTACCGGTGGGGGGACACTGAGGCCCAGAGCCCACCGTGCGCAGCTGCAGGGTCGGGATCCCTCCCAGGCACTCGCCCAAGTGCCCTGGCCCCTAGCTTGCCCTCCAGCCACACTCCGCTCTGGCTCAGTCATCCAAATGGCTTTCTCAGGGGAAAGACGGCGCAGGTGAAGCGTATGCAGCCTCCTACCTCTTATACTTGATATTCAGGAGGGAATAGACAGCACCCCCGACACAGAGAGGGTACAGCAGGTATGACAAGTACTTCATGGCCTGCGGGGAACAAAGGGAGCTTCCAGTCAGAGGCCCAAACGCCAGGCCTGTGTAAACGCACTGCATGGAGCTCACTACGACAGGGACAGACAGAACGAGCTACAGCACTCGGGGCGGCAGGGCTGCTCTGAAGGGGGCAGGCGGTGTGAGGGGCGTACGTAGGGCTTCATGCACTCGCCACAGCCCAGGAGGCACCGCATGCGCCACAGCCCGGGTATAACTACAGGCGCTAGTTAACAATAATAGATCAATTTGGGCTGGTCAAAACCAACCAATCCACAACAAATCAACAAACATAATGGAAAGACACCTGAAAAAACTGTCTACTAAGTAACGTAGTTACATCGCCAGCTGTATCTATTGATTTCAGCTTTACAACTCCATGAAAGTTAGATAGAAGCTGGTGAACGTTAAACCAAACCAAAATCACTCCTGTGCAGAAATGTTCCTTTAACTTGAACTGAGACTTCCAGCTCCCCCAGCAGCACTGGGGAAGGCGATGCTCTGTGCTTCTGGGGCCGAGGGCCGATCCTCCAGGCCACCGAGCTGCCGAGGCCGTTACGGCCTTGGTGACAGCAAGTGCGTTCCCAGCAACCACAGCAGACACCAAGGCCTGCGTCAGCCGCCTGGCAAATGTGACTTACAGACGATGAAAATACCCCTACTATACGGTGACACAGGCAGGCTGTGCCTGTAAAGACTGGAGAATGAGCATCTCTGCAAGCCCCCGCCCTTCCCAGTAAGAAATCTGGGTTTTATGTGTTCACTCTTGGGATTCCTGCTCAAGGCGGGCTGACCCGTACTCCAAGGAGACTCCCGCACTGAGCAGTGACAGCAAGAGCCCCGTCTTCGAGGATGTGGGATTTGCCTGGCATGCACGTGCCCTGAATCACTTGTGACTTACCTGAGTATCGTACTCCTCGGTTTTCCTCTCAGATTCGCTGTAAGTGCCAAACTGTTGTGAAATTCAACACAAGGATGTTAACAGACTCAGGGAAGATCTGAGCACAGGTGAGCTGTGACTAAGGGGCGTCACATATGGCTGCAGAGCTGACCCAGGCCTCGCTACAGAGGGCGCTCAGGTCCCTACCGGCCGAGGAGAGGACCCAGAGGACAGGGATCTGCGTGGACCCTTCCCACCTCACCCTGGCCCTGGGTCCCGCAGGCCTGAGCGGGGACAGCGCGGCCTCACTGCTGTTCCTCGTTGGGTGGCTCGGTTTTCAGTGCCGCTGCTTCACAGTGAGAACACTGCAGAGGGCACAGGCACAGCCGACAATGCTCTGAACCAGCTGGCCAGAAGTCACGGGGCCAGGCTGGAACACAGAGGCTGCGCTGCATCTGCTTCCTGCCCTTCCTCTGCCCACAGCATGGAAAATCTCAGCCGTGACTGCTGAGGGCCCCGCCTCAATCAAGGTCCATCTGTGGACACAGATTCAGCTCCAGCTCTGCCCCAGCCCTCATCTGCCTAGGGGCTCATGAGTACCCAGGCACTGGGGCAGCCACAAGAGGCAGGGGCTCACTCACTTGGGGATTGCCAGGACTGTACTGACCCCAGTCAGCACCAGCCTGGGGAACGCGCTCTAGGCAAGGTGCCAAAACGAAGCACCCCCGCTGGCCGGCCAGCGTCCTTTCTCCCAGAGGCCGGCTCAGGCCCAGCAGCGCTGCCATCGGCATTGAAGAGGGTCAGAACTAGGTACATGACTGGGGAGTCCTCAGGCGAAGAGAGTGGCTGCGATCGGAAACCAGTGCTGCCTCCACCACGGAGGCTCCCAACAGAGGCCCACAGTGACTCATCCGTGGATGGCCACTTTACTCTGTGCACAGGGGGCAAAACCACACTCTTCAGAGAGGGTGTGGGGTTCAGCCACTACAGTTAAATCCTACCTGAAATTCAGGTATCAGGCCTCTCCAAAGAATAGTCATCTTCAATGCCTTCTTCACTTTCCACAGCTGAGGGGAGAAATCAGGAAATAGTTCCTTTAATATTCCAAGGCCACAAGACCCCGAATGAATGACCCAGATGATAACGGATAGGACCTGCCGCCCACGGCCCCGCCCAGCCCACTGTCCTCTTCCTGTCCCTCCCACAGCTCAGGGCAGAACGGTGGGGGCCGGACCTGGGCCTCTAACCCACACCCGGCAGGTATACCTGGTCAGGTGGGCTGCACAGCCACCGACCAGCAGACGACAAAACCAGCATGCAAGTGCGGTTCTCTTTTTTTTTTTTTTTTTTTTTTGAGACGGAGTCTCGCTCTGTAGCCCGGGCTGGCGTGCAGTGGCGGGATCTCGGCTCACTGCAAGCTCCGCCTCCCGGGTTTACGCCATTCTCCTGCCTCAGCCTCCCGAGTAGCTGGGACTACAGGTGCCCGCCACCTCGCCCCGCTAGTTTTTTGTATTTTTTAGTAGAGACGGGGTTTCACCGTGTTAGCCAGGATGGTCTCGATCTCCTGACCTCGTGATCCACCCGTCTCGGCCTCGCAAAGTGCTGGGATTACAGGCTTGAGCCACCGCGCCCGGCCGCAAGTGCGGTTCTCTAAACCACCCTGCCTGCACCCAAATTAGCCCCCACCTCCTTCGCCGGGCACTTGGGCAGCCGTGGAGCCTGTTTCAGGACCTCTCTGAGAGCTGCCACCACCTGGCTGCATCCTTGGAAGGCATCGTTCACAGAGGACTGGTGCCTGAGCCGGGCGTGGCACTGTGACTCGTACCTATGGAGGGCCCCGCCTGCGGTGCTCCAACACCATCTAATCCAGCTCCTCCTCAACAGGCATGACGGCCGTGCAGGCCCCCACCCACAAACGGGCCACCAACTGCGGGGCCCTCAGACTCTGGCTCCTGCCGGGGTGGCAGAGCTCAGGGAGGAGCTAGGCGGGTGTCTGGGCCCTCTCACCCCAAAGGCCATCGGCCCCTCAAGTTTTGCTCCCAAGCTGGCCCTGCCCCACGAGGCTCCCTTTTGGCTGGCTTTTCTGAGCTCCGAACAACCAGGGCTGGACCACAGGGCACCGAGAGATTTCCGTCACTGCCCACCTGGCCGCCGTGCTCAGCTCTGCAGCGACAGCACGAGCCTCTCAAGGCCCCACGGTTTACGCCTCTGCTTTGCGCGTGGTGGGATTTCTCAAACACGTAAACCACTGCTTGGTGGACAGGCCTCAGGAGCTGATGCCATCAGAACACCCATTTCCCTGCTCTCCACTTGTTCAAAGCCTTTATAGCCACCACCTGCCATTCCACAGCTTCCAGAACACCAAGGCCGTCGGGAACAAGCACACAGGCTTCCACGGAAGGTCTCACACGCTGGGCCTGAAAGCCTTTCCCGAGCGCGCAGAGGCCCATGGACCTCAGACAGTTCAGGTCACTGCCCGGAACTCACCTCGATAGCGGCTCCAACGCCCGCCGGGACCAGCACCAGCAGGCTCGTCTGCTCGTCCAGCAGGAACAGGAAGATGACCACGGTGCTGAAGCAGCGCCAGAGCACTGGGGACAGGACGGTCGGGCTGGGAGGGGGTGCAGGGCAGACCCCGCCTGTGTGCCCCCAAGTCGCACACATACCCTCAGTCCCCCATCCCAACCCCCATGCCCGAGAAGCTTCAGGTACTCCCCAGTCCATGTCCCCCTGTTTAAAAAGAACAGGGAAGTATCCAGCAGCCAGGAAAGTGTCTTGAAGGCTGCTGAACTAACAGCTGGCCCCACACCAGCTCCACAAGCACGTGTCTGAGCCACACACACCAGCTCCACAAGCACGTGTCTGAGCCACACCTGCAAACGAGCACGGAGTGTGGGCAGAGGTCGGATGACGGCCAGCACAGCTTAGATTCCAGGCAGGTCTTATGCTGGTTCTGTGATAAGCGCGTGGCTTTTCAAGTCTGGACTGGTTTCCTCCCCAGCCTGTACCTTAACCACCACTCCAGCTTATTCAACACGTCTTCCTCCTCCCGCAAACCCCCAGGGCAGGCAGGGGAAGCAGATCCATGGAGCCACACGACAAACAGTGCTCATGGCCACAGCGCTGTCTGCTGGCCACCCAACCTGGGACGCCGGGAAAGGCATTAGGGTTAGGAGACTCCACCACAGAGCACGGCAGGGCCCCAAGGCAGCCAGGGCCACCTGCTTGGGCATCTTTTCCACGTGAGAAAAACAACTTGTTTGGGTCTCTGATACTGGAGCCGAACACTCCTCATTCCTAACCAAGACTCACCCACTCCTCGTCCTCACACCGCCAACCCCTCGCCCCTGTCCAGACCGCCGCTCCCACCCCACTGTGACAACCTCCACCCCTGCAAGGTCAGGAGGACCCTCACTCACTTGGGCCCCCTAACCACGGCAGGCACCCTTGGCCAGGAACGTTGGTCCCAGATCTTGGCAGGCCTCCTGCCCGGGCTGCCTGGCCTCAGGGGTCCTGACCGCTCTACCTAACAGCTGCACACTCCCTGTCACTGCCGGGCACAGCACCACGGGCCTATCAACTGCCATCACCTGGCAGGCCCCACACACCCAGGCCTGCGCTGGTCGGGGAAGGAAGACCCGCGGGAAGACGGGGCGAGGGAACTAAGACAGGGGATGTGAGCCCAGCCCGCTCAGTGCCCGTGAGCAGCCGGGAAGGCTGGAGAGGTCCATGCTTCTCACTCCCCACAGCCCAGGTCCAAACCCATGCACACCAGAGTCCACAGCCAGGCCTGAGCTATGCAGCCTCCGGCAGTCACACCACACGCATGCCACAGTTTGCAGCCAGGCCCTGAGCCGCGCAGCCCCCGACAGTCCCACTGCAATTGCTGCAGAGGCTCTCTGGGTTTTACAGTGCCTGGTCTCAGAGGCTTCTCAGAGCCAAGCACACACCCGGCGCTGTGTCTGCAGCCAGCAGTGAGGCGGGCAGCCCTCAACACAGGCTCCAGTGAGCATCCCCGGGGCAGAGGATCTGAGCAGGGCCACGCTCGGGGCGCCTACCTGCCTTGGTGGACATGCCGATCATGCTCTTCTTCTTCTTCCAGAAACTGATGTCATTTTTAAGGCCAGGAAATCAAAGAGAAGCTAGAGAGAAACACACGACAGCAACTCACATCTCCTGCTGTTTCTATCTCTGTGAGACAGAGATAGAGGCCTCACATGTGACTGTGAGGCTGCAGTGTGCTCAGCCTCAGGACGCATCAGGACAGATGTCTACACTCGGGACCCGCACCTCCATGCACCTGGCCTGCCATGTCCTGTCAGAACCTAGAGTGCCCAGGCAGGCTTTGCAGGGGCCCTTCTGAAATAATGACTTGAATTGCTGGAAGGCCCACAGGCAATTGGAGGCTCTGGAATCCCCTGGACTGTGGGGCTGGCTGGGCATCCCGACCCTGCTCTCGGGTTGTGGCTACTCAGGGCAGCCTCACCTCTCAACTGTGCTAGAAATGCAGGGGCTGGGCGTGGTGGCCCATGCCTGTGGTCCCGGCTACTGCAAAGCCAAGGCCGGAGGACTGCCTAAGCCCAGGGTTTGAGACCAGCCTGGGCAATATAGTGAGACCTGTCTCCAAAGAAAAAAAACTTAAAAAAACCTAACCATGCTGAGCTCATCCTTAGAGACATCGACCTTTTAATAAAATCATTTAATTCTCAATGTGGCTTTAGAAGTTTTAGCTTGATGGGCAGCCAAACTCCCAGGCACTCAGAACCAGCGCCAGCCACACGCCTGGGTGCCTCCTCACCCTTCCAGCCTAACCACAGGCCAGCCTACCAGCCACAGGATGGCTCTCCTCAAGCAGCTCAACTCCACGGGCGAAAATAAGAGCACAACAGCTTGCTTTACCCATGGTTTGCTGTTACCCACGGAGCAGTGCGATGAGCTATTCTGAGAGTGAGACCACTCCCGTGTAACTTCATTACAGTGTACTGTCCTGTTTCTGTTACCAGTTATTATTGGTAATCTCTTACCGTGCTTAATTTATAAATTGAACTTTATCATAAGCATTATATAATATATATATTTATAAGAAAAATCAGTCTTTCTAGGTTTTGGTTTCAGGTATCCACTGAGGGTCTTTGAACATATCTCCTGAGGATAAGGGAGGACTACTGTATACACACTGGATGAGGATGAGGTACTACTGTATACACACCGGATGAGGATAAGAGACTGCTGTATACACACCAGATGAGGATGAGGTATACTGTATACACACCGGATGAGGATAAGGGGGGACTACTGTATACACACCGGATGAGGATAAAGGGGGACTACTATATACACACAGGACTTTTACATTTAAAAATCAGTGTGTTAGAATTTGTACAAGTACTTTCTGCCAGAAGCTGCCCACCTCTGCATGGGCGTGCATGGGGTCGGGGCCGGACGGGGAGGGTGAGATGCCTGCACCTGTTCATTTCACTGGTGTGGACACTGCTCAGAGTACTCTGGATCCTTTTCAAAACCGCCCCCAAAGCCAGCACAGCACAGCCCAAGTCCCCAAGTCCCCAAGGCTGTGGACGGAGCTCTATGGTTCCTCCTTTACAGAACTGGGAGAACTCGCCCCTGGGGCAATGGTCGCCAAGTGTCAGGAGTGCTGGCTGCTGAGCAATGGGAGCAGATGCTTGGGGCCACAGGGCTGGACGGTGCCCACAAACCCCAGGTCCAGGGCCCTTGCAGGAGGCCCGGGACCCAGGGAGCCTCCCCAGTGCCTGTGGCAAGCCCTCCTGGCGGACGACTCACGTGGAACGCTGCGACAAAGAAGGTCAGCGCCAGGAAGTATAAGTTGGTATCTACAAAAATTCCTTTCACCCTCATCAGCATCTTTCTCTGAAAACCCTGCCAAGGAAAGAAAAACATACATATAAAACAGGCAATATCAATCTTACCTAACATTACAAATACAGTTTTCAATATAAAAATTTAGGCCGGGCACAGTGGCTCATGCCTGTAATCCCAGCACTTTGGAGTCTCAGGTGGGTGGATCACTTGAAGTCAGGAGTTTGAGACCAGCCTGGCCAACACGGTGAAACTCCATCTCTACTAAAGATACAAAAATTAGCTGGGCATGGTGGCACACGCCTGTAAATCCCAGCTACTGGAGGGACTGCGGCATGTGAATCGCTTGAATCCGGGGGGCGGAGGCTGAAGTAGCAGAGATTGCGCCACTGCACTCCAGCCTGGGCAACAGAGTGAGACTCGTCTCAAAAATAAATAAATAAATAAAAATAAATCTCGTCAACAGTTAAGGTTCATTTGACCAAAATCATGGCATTTCACATATTATGTTCTTAATAAAGCCAATTTCCAGACAATCAACCAGGTCATCTCCAAGAGAGAAGTGAGGCAGGTGCTGCTGAGCTCCGATTCAACGTCTGTGTGAGCATCTGCAGCAGGAGGCGTGGAGGCCCGGCCTGTGTCAGGATTTGCACTCAGATGCCCGAGGGGCTCCAGGGCAGCCTCATCCCGACGCCGGCCGTGTGCGGCACGTACCGAACTGCTGCAGGGAGTACACGGCGTCCTGCATGTGGATCCAGAAGCGCAGCCGTCCCAGTGAGACCTTGTCGTAGGACACGGTGAGGGGCAGCTCGGTGGTGGAGCGGTTTATGACCTGATGAAGACAGCCACACTGAGGGCCCTGCCCTCACACCCTTGCGCCCAGCTGCTTGGCAGCCCTCGTCAACCCTGCATCCCCTTCCATCCCTGTGTGGCCCCATGTCAGACATGACAGGACCCAGCAGGCATCCTGAGGTCCTCCTTCTGTCACCACAGATCCCAGGCCCCAGTGTGCTGTGTCCCAGCACGGGAGGTTCCCACCACAGGACCCTGTGAGCTCAGCAGTGCTAGCACTGCCTGGGCTGTTCTGCTGCACATGCCCCTTCAATTTCAAGTGCACAAGTCCTGGTTCCCTGGAGGTGATGCTTGCCACCCATCTGCCAGGATCACGGCGCAGCATACGCGCGTGAGCTTCGCCCTGCAGAGCGGGCTTGTCCTAAGAGTTGGGACACGGGACACGCACAGCCCTGCAGCACATGGGCAAAGTGCCCTCAGGGCCTAAAGCATGGAGCAGGCGGTGGCCATGGGGACAACAGAAGGCTTCTGGAATGCAGAGCTAGCACGGGCAGTGGCATGGATGTGTGGGCCTCAGAACAATAAGCTTAGTCCTGCGGCCCGCCGGGGTCTCATGCACACAGGCTGCAGGCCAGGTCCCAGGGCACCGAGGTAGGAGGGTAAGGAACGGGTTCACAGGGGCAAGCCCACACCCTACAGCACATGCACAGTGACCACATCTGGTGAGCGCCACCCGCCACATGCTGGAACGTCCAGCGAGGGCTGTGCTCTAATCCACCTGCCCTGCCTCACGCCCTGACCCGCCATGGCGGGCACTGCTGGTGTCAAGGGTGTGGTGGAGTCAGAGCCACAACCAGCAGGTGCCAGGTTGTCCTGAGAGCAGCTGTCAGGGCGCCCCACGCAGCCAAGTGGCATCAGTGCACATGGACGGTGGCCTCCAGGCACCCCTCGAGCTGCCAAGCGTGTCTGAAGGGTGTCACTGCCTGCTCCATCTGGCAGTGCTGGGCCCAGCCACAGAAGGTGCCGACTTCCTGCGCCTGCTGCGTCCCAGCTGCCTGCTTCCTCTCTTAAGACAGCACCTCTCAAATCTGGCCCCAAGTGAGACACAGCAACAGAGACACAGCACATGAGAGACCGGGATTCAGGGAAGCTGCTGTCGGCACGTGTCTCCATAACTACTGCAGCGCGGGCCACCACCGGCACAGCTGTGCCACAAAGCCTGCCCCGGGCCTCTAACAGACAGATCTGCAGACACACACACAGGGCAGCCTTCTGCAGCCGCCTGCCCCTTCCACCGTCTTCTGAACGCCTGCAAGGAGTCAGCAGCACGAGGCCTCACAAGAGGGGACCACGGGCTGGTGCCACAGCTCACACAACTCCGTATGGGACATTTTAGCAGAAGCTGCTGTCCTGAGGTTTGTCAGCGGCACACCAGCAAACTCCAGCCAACAGAGAAAGGCACTGGAATTGCAGGGCTGACAGAGAAACTGTTCAGGGAGAGGCTGGAACACCAGACCTGCTCGCTAGTCACTGCCTGTCCGGCCCCCAGTCTGCAGGTTGTATAGGAGCAATCAGTGACCCCAGAAGTGAAGGAGGCAGTGTTAGGGACCACAAGGGGTCTGAGGGAACAGCTGTACAGAGCGACGGTTCTGAGAGCCATAGTCAGCAGCAGGCAGCAGGGCCTGGGCAGAGATCAAAGCAGTCAGGAGGCTGCGCCCCCATTTCCCAGCTGCACCCACCCCCCAGCAAGCTCCCTGCTCTCCAGGTGCCCACTCCCCAATTTCCCAGCTGTACCCCCTAGCAAGCTCCCTGCTCTCCAGGTGCCTGCTCCCCCGTTTCCCAGCTGTACCCCCAACAAGCTCCCTGCTCTCCAGGTGCCCACTCCCCCATTTCCCAGCTGCACCCCCAGCAAGCTCCCTGCTCTCCAGGTGCCCA